TGTATAAGTTACATTAGTTAAACCCCTCCCACCACTTCACATCTTAGTTTCATACATACATGTGTATATGTGTACATATATTTTGAAATCACAAAATTTAATAGTTTTTGCAGTCAGTATTCACTTGAATTTACTCACATTATTTACCTTCTCTGCATTTTCATGCTTCTTTCTGAATCAAATTCTTTCAGCTAGAAAGACTCCTTTTAATATTTGTCTTAGCCCAGTTCTACTGGTTATAAATTATCATATAGCTTTTATTTGCTTGAAAATTGTCTTTATTTTATATGTATTTTTAAAGCCTACTTCAGCTTGATGGAGAATATGGTTTGTAGTTATTTTCTTTTGACCTTTTAAAAATGGCATTCTATTTTTTCATCATGTTTATTAAGAAATCAATAAACAATAGATTTTTATCCTATAAGGGAAATGTGCATTTTTCTTCTGGTTACCTTTGAGAATTTATTCTTTGTCTTTGATTTTCCACAGTTTTACCTTGATGTGGCTATTTTAGTTTTCATTGAATTTGTCCTCTTTGGATTTCACTAAATTTCCTTTTTCTATGAATTGATTATTAGATTAGTTAATTCTTCACTATTATTTCTTCAAAATATTGCCTCTGTCTTGAATTTCCCTGCCTCCTTTCTGAGACTCCAATTACATCTGTCTGAGATGTTTGCATCTTATTTTTTTTCTTTCTCTCTCTCTTTCTCCCTCCCTCTTCCTCTCTCTCTCCATCTCCTCTTTTATCTTTTCTGTTTATGCTGCAATCTAGACACTCTGTACTGCTTTATCTTCTATATTACTAATAAAATCTTCTGCTGTGATCAATCTGTTGTTAAATATACCAATTAGTTATTCGTTTTAGTTACTGCAATTTTCAGTTTTGGAATTTCTATTGATATATTCTAGTGAAATTCCTTATCTTGCTGTCTGTTTCCTTGAAAATATTAATCACAGTTATTATAAAGATTGTTAGTTAATTTCAATATCTGGATTATTTCTTGATCTTTTCCATTGTCTAGTTTTTGTCATTTCTGTTTTTGATGTCTTGATAATTTTGGGTGAATTCTGGACATTTTGGACAAAAATTTGCAGAGGCTAGAGAAGAGAAAATTGTCACCCAGAGAATCCCCACCCCAGCCTCTGATAGGCTTCTAGACTAGGCACAGATCTTAATTCAAATAAGTGTTTAGCTGACTCAATGCAGGGCCTCAGTCCCTAGTTTATATATCTGGAGTACAATGCTTCTGTAGTCCCAAATGAGATTTGAGGGTTTTTACCAAAACTTTTCTTTGAAAGTCTCTGAGTTCTCTCATCTGACTTCTAATTATGATGAGTATACAGAGACCCCTGCTTCATGACGCAGCATCATAGCTGCCCTGCCACTTACTCTTTGGCCACCTTGTCTTTTGCTCATTGTTCCTTAGGAGTTGACTAGTGCTTCAAGGGTAAAAGCAGAAAGAGTATTCTGAACTTATCTTCTAAGATCTTGACATTCTCGAGTCCTGGCTATCTTAGTAGATCTTTAAAACTTTCAAGAAGGTTATTTAAGCCAGGCTTGGTGGCTCACGCCTGTAATCCCAGCACTTTGGGAGGCTTAGGCGGGTGGATCACGAGGTCAAGAGATGGAGACCATCCTGGTCAACATGGTGAAACCCCATCTCTACTAAAAATACAAAAATTGGCTGGCATTGTGGCACACGCCGATAGTCCCAGCTACTCAGGAGGCTGAGGCAGGCGCATTGCTTGACTCAGGAGGCAGAGGTTGCAGTGAGCCAAGATCGTGCCATTGCACTCCAGCCTGGGTAACAAGAGCAGAACTCCGTCTCAAAAAAAAAAAAAAAAAAAAAAGAAGGTTATTTAAGCTTTATTTGATACTTGTCCTTGGACATTTTATACTTGTCCTTGGTAAGAAGTTAAGTCTTCTGAATGTTTGCTTGACGTAACTGAAAATATAACTGCATTTCTTTTATTGCCCTGGGAAATGTATTGAAGAAAACAAAATGTATATAACTTTTTTCATATAATATGTGTTTATAATACAATGGGCTTAATATCTTGGAAAATTAAAAACACTGAAATGCTAATTACATTTTAACAAATATTTTCAAAAAATATATAGAGCTGGTCAGTGTCTCATGCCTGTAATCCCAGCACGTTAGGAGGTCAAGGCAGGCAGATTGTTTGATTGCCCAGCCTAGGCAACATGGAAAAACTCCTACAGAAATCTCTACAAAAACTACAAAAATTATCACATGGTGGTGCATGCCTGTAGCCCCAGCTACTCAGTAGGCTGAGGTGTGAGATCACTTGATCTCAGAGAGGTCAAAGCTGTAGTGAGCCAAGAGCATGCCACTGCAATCCAGCCTTAGTGACAGAGTGAGACCCTGCCTCAAAAAAAAAAATTTAATATAAAAAAATAGAAACTCAAGATGAAAAAGTAAAAATCCATGTCCATCATAAATAAGTTGAAGAACTGGAATCCTGCTCACAGAGGATTCCAGACTCTGTGCAATTACCTATTTATCTTTACCAGGAAATGGGAGAAGGAGTAAAGAGAGAGGAAAGAAAAACAGAGGGGAAAGATCATGCATGAAAATTAAAGAGAGAGATCAAGGCCTTTACTTAGAATGTAGAAGCAAGGCCTGTTTTCCCTCAGTTCCTCTTATTTTACCCAGAAGGAAAGAATGTATGTAAGTGAATAAAGGCAAATATTTCCTAGGAAAGCTTTGTGTGTATTCATCGATTGCAGGATTCAATATTATCATCCTCCCCAAATTGGTCTATAGAATCCCAATACATCTATTCTAACTTATTACATTAAAACAAATCATCTCTAGTCTTTAGAAAAATAAAGAAAAATCACAATGAGAAACCACTATACATCTAGCAGAATGGCTAAAATTAAAAAGGGTGAAAACACCAAGTGTTTGGCAAAGATATTGAATTCTCATACATTGCTGGTGGGAAATGTGAAAATGATACTATCACTTTGGAAAACAATTTGGCATTCTTCTAAGTTATATATACACTTAATATATAACTCAGCACTTCCACTCCCATGTATTTACCTGGGAGAAATGAATGCATATGTCAACATAAAGATGCATGTGTAACTGTTCCTAGCAGCTTTATTTATAAAAGTTTAAACCTGGAAACAGTTCAAATGTCTATCAGCAGGTAAATGGATAAACAAGTTGTCAAATAGTTGAATACCCCAAGCAATAAGGAAGAACAGACTGTTGATATATGCAGCAGCATGCATGTATCTCGAAAACATTACACTTAGCAAAGGAATGCAGACACAAAAGAATACATATGCATCATAGAATTTTATGAAACTTTGGAACTGACAAAATGAATCTGTAGTTACAGAGTATAGATCGTTGGTTTCCTGGTTCTGGGTCTGGGTGGCAGTGTTGGGGGTTTGATAAAAATGGCAATTAGTGAGTTGATATGAAATTGCCTATATCTTGATTTGTTGGCAATAACCTAGGTATATATGTTTGTTAAAATGCATTGGACTGTAACCTGAAATTTACTGAATATAAAGTATAACTCTGTGAAAATGATATTCATATTTCCATATTGGAATTATGGGGAGTTTTTTTGTTGTTTTTTTGAGAGGGAGTCCCATTCTGTCACCCAGGCTGGAGTGCAATGGAGTGATCTCGGCTCACTACAACCTCTGACTCCTGGGTTCAAGCTCTTCTCCTGCCTCAGCCTCCTAAGTAGTGGGTGCACCACCACACTCCACTGATTTTTTGTATTTTTAGTAGATGAGGTTTTACCATGTTAGCCAGGCTGGTCTTGATCTCCTGACCTCAAATGATCTGCCCGCCTTGGCCTCCCAAAGTTCTGGGATTACAGTGTGAGCCACTATGCCTGGCCTTATATTGAAATTAATACTCAATTTATTTAGAGTAAACTTCTTTAATTTGCCCATTATCCCTGATAAGTAATCCTGAAGCCTTCGTGTACATCACAACTACCTAGTTAGCTTAGGAAATATGCAGACCCCTGGGTCTCACCCACAGAAATCCTAATTCATGGTTTGGTTGAGGCTCATGTTCTAAAGTCTCCAAGTAATCACTCTTAGTCAATCTGACTAGGAAGTTGATATAAAACTTTAGGGAAATTTCTGTGGAATAGTGTTTTTTTGTTGTTGTCATTGTTGTTACAAAAAAAGTAAGACATCAGCATTAGCACCATATAGAATCTTGCTGTTTTCAAGCAATATTTTCCTCTTACTGTTGATATGTTTCCCCTGAAAAGGGGGTGCAAGGTAGGATTGGGATGAGACATGCCTGTTCTTAGAATAATAGTGAGAAGCAGAAAAGTAATGCTATGGTAATGAGAAGCCAGAATTAAGAGTAGATTCTTGGTGTGAAAAACGTGAAGGTAAGCCAGGCACGGTGGCTCATGCCTGTAATCCCAGTGCTTTCAGAAGCTGAGGCAGGCGTATTGCTTGAGCCCAGGAATTCAAGACCAGCCTTGGGATCATAGTGAGACCCTGTATAAAAAAAATTTAAAAATTAGCCAGGCAATGTAGTGTATAACTGTAGTCCCAGCTACTTGGGAAGCTGAGACTAGAGGATGGCTCAAGGCCAGTAGTTCACGGCTGCAGTGAGCTATGAAGGTACCACTGCACTACAGCATGGGCAACAAAGTGAGTCTCTGTTTCTAACAAAAGTAAAATGAAGGTAAAATATGGTGTAAGGAAATAAAGAAAATAACCACTCAGAATTACTTAATTATGTCTTAGCTTCTTAGAGACTTCATACTTTGCAGGAGTCTAAAGCAGATAGACTCCTTCCTTATCCTTCCTTGGAAGTCATTCTGGGCCAGATGCCGGTTTACAGAAGCATCACTGTGAATGTGGCAGAAATCATCGTATTTCAGGATTATATGTCCTCTTTCCTATATGGTGGTCTCCTTACAAGTAATTCATTGCCTTCTGCATTTTTATCTTTCACCTAACACATGGAAGGCTTTCAGTGAATATTAGCTGTATGAATGAGGACATAACATATTTTAGCAAAATTTTGTCGACACAGTTCTTCCTAGACTTGAATATTTTATGACAAACTTCTTTATCTTGCAAGAGTTAGTATTCAGGAACTTCGTGAACACATCTGTTCTTAGCTCTTCCAGTACTTTTTGGCAAAGACATAATTGCACCAATAATCTTCAAGTATCATTTTTAAACTCTCATGGTTCTCTAACACTAGAAAATGAGGAAGATATTTTAATACTTCTGAGTAAGATGTAGGTCACCCGTGATTGAAGTGAGTCAGACCAGGAACAAGCTGGCTGGCAGAGGAGCTATGTAATTGTGGATGAATGGTTGTAAATCTCTTTTTCCTGATGGAAACTGAAGATTTCCTAGGTCCTTCAAAAATGAAATCTGTTATCATTTTAAGCTGTCTACTTTCCTATAAATCCCCTATGTGCTATTTTAAACTCATTTCCGTCTGTTTTCTCTGCCCAGTGCCCTGACAGTAATAATGAGGCAGATGTCCGCTGAGGGCACCCCATGTACCTAGCACTGTTGTAAACGTACAAATATTAACTCATTTAACCCTGTCAACAACCTTCTAAGAGAGAAGTATATGTGTTCTCACTTCACATATGAGGAAACTGAGGCACAGAGAGGCTATGTAACTTATCCAGGATGGAACCAGGATTCAAGCCCACGCAGTGTGTACTCTAGTGTACTAGAAAATGTAGCTCCTGATCTAATGGCGGCAGACTAATGTGTCAGGGGCCCACACTGCTAATACTGATAGAGATTCACCAGTCAAAACTATAATCTTGGCGTCGGCACAGGTTTCCGCAGCTGAGGGGCAGCTCCACAGCGGCGTCTGGGGTCTCCAGTTGGGTGCTTGCACAGTCCCCCGCCGAGGCTGGCAACGGGCGTCCCTCCACTCCCCGAGTCCCCGGCCACCGCCGCCACCCCAGCGCGCCCCGATCTGGTCCCCTGCCCCGCGAAGATGGCTGCCGTAAGCTGGGCCAGCAGTTACTGCCGTGCCTGGTGCGCTTCTCCGACCTAGAACTCTGCTAAGCCCCGCTGCAGAGACAGGCAGGAGTAGACACCCGGACACCTAGCACCCCTCCTCCGGGGGCAGTGCAGAGGGGGCATGAAGAGCCGCCCTCGAGTGCAGCAGGCCGCCCCGCCAGCATGGCAGAAGCTGAGGAAGATTGTCATTCTGATACTGTCAGAGCAAATGAAGATGATGAAGAAAATGAAAGTCCTGCTGAAATAGATCTGCAGGCACAACTCCAGGTGTTCCGAGCTCAGTGGATGTTTGAACTTGCTCCAGGTGTAAGCTCTAGCAATTTGGAAAATCGACCTTGCAGAGCAACAAGAGGCTCTCTCCAGAAAATAGCAGCAGATACCAAAGGAAAACAAGAACAGGCAAAAGAAGAAAAGGCTCGAGAACTCTTCCTAAAAGCAGTAGAAGAACAAAATGGAGCTCTCTATAAAGCCATCAAGTTTTATTGTAGGGCTATGCAACTTGGACCTGATATAGAGTTCAAGATTACTTATACCTGGTATCCAGATGGTGATGGCGTTGGAAACAGCTACATTGAAGATAATGATGATGATAGTAAAATGGCAGATCTCTTGTCCTACTTTCAGCAGCAACTCACATTTCAGGAGTCTGTGCTCAGACTGTGTCAGCCTGAGCTTGAGAGCAGTCAGACTCATATATCAGTCCTGCCAATGGAGGTCCTCATGCACATCTTCCGATGGGTGGTCTAGTGACTTGGACCTCAGATCATTGGAGCAGTTGTCCCTGGTGTGCAGAGGATTCTACATCTGTGCCAGAGACCCTGAAATGTGGCATCTGGCCTGCTTGAAAGTTTGGGGCAGAAGCTGTATTAAACTTGTTCCTTACACATCCTGGAGAGAGATGTTTTTAGAACAGCCTCCTGTTCGGTTTAATGGAGTGTATACCAGTAAAATCACATATATTCGTCAAGGAGAACAGTCTCTTGATGGTTTCTATAGAGCCTGGGACCAAGTGGAATATTAGAGGTACATAAGATTCTTTCCTGATGGCCATGTGATGATGCTGACAACCCCTGGGGAGCCTCAGTACATTGTTCCTCATTTAAGAACTAGGAATACCAGGACTGATACAATTCTACTAGGTAACTATCACTTGTCACAAGACACAGACAATCAGACCAAAGTATTTGCTGTTATAACTAAGAAAAAAGAAGAAAAACCACTTGACTATAAATACAGATAATTTCATCATGTCCCTGTACAAGAAGCAGATCAGGGTTTTCAGGTGGGGCTACAACTATGTTCCAGTGGCCACCAGTGGTTCAACAAACTCATTTGGATACATCATTCTTGTTACATTACTTACAAATCAACTAGTGGGACTGCAGTCAGTGCTTTTGAGATTGACAAGATATACACCCCCTTGTTCTTCGCCAGAGTAAGGAGCTACACAGCTTTCTCAGAAAGGCCTCTGTAGAGCCTCAAGTCCAGTCTTCTATCACTTTTGCATGAATAGAAGTATATAGCACAAAAGAGCACCTAAGTTATAAATGTACATATGTATCTATGAAATTGGAACTTATTTTAAATGAGAGTTCTTTTAAGAAGAGTATAAATTGATTATTTTTTTTATTTAAAGGGATAGTTGATTCTTGGGGTGTTTTGAAATTAAGTTGGAATTATAAGTTGCATAAGCATATTTATGTTGTGAGAAACCTTAATTTATCATGCCCTTTTTCAAGCAGATTTATGAGCAGATTTCTGTCACATAAATTGTCTTCTGCCTGAGCATTCTAATATTTAAATGCCTCAGGGGAGCGCTTCACTGGATAAGCATTTTATTTCCCACATGGCATAATGTCTTTGCACTAAAGGCTGAAAGTGTGAGAACCTTTTCTGGATTTGTTTGAAATTGTTTCACCAATAAAGATCATAAATAAAAAAAACTATAATCTTAATTAATAAAGCTAATAATTATAAACTAAATTCATGTAAAATTAGAAAAGCTTCTCCTATTTTAAACCACTAGCTAAGTTTTCTGCATTCATTTTGGATAGCAAGTCTTTTATTCTGAAAATTTTGAGGAATGTTGGATTTTACTGTAAACATAATAAGTGACATTAATTTTCCAGTATCCCACTATATTTTCTATTTATATAACTAAATTTCATACAAGGGATTTTTTCCAACAGGTTTTTGATAAAATATTAAATATGTTACTGAAATTGTTTTATTTCTGTGTTTCATTCAAATATATATTGTAGGGAAATATTTGCACTGATTATGCCTAGTTAGGAGAACCTATCCATAATTTTTCTTGAAACAAGGTCTTGCTCTATTGCCCAGGCTGAGGTGCAGTGCTACAGTCATGGCTCACTGCAGCCTCAACCTCCTGGGCTCAAGCGATCCTCCCACCTCAGCCTTCCAAGAAGCTGGGACTATAGGCAAGTGCGACCAATCTCGCCACATTGCCCAGGCTGTTCTCAAACTCTTGGGCTCAAGCGATCTCCCCACCTCCGCCTCCCAAAGGGCTGGGATTACAGGCAGGAGCTACTGTACCAGCTGGGAGAACTTTTCTTTGCTCTTGCAAGTGTTTTAAAATGCTTAAGTATGACTTTTGTGGACAAGTGGGAAATGAGTTTACCTTTTAGCATTACTTCTAAGCACCAAGACTTGAAATTTTGCTTCTCCAGTGGGAGGATCTTATTCAAGAGGGACTATGAGGGAGTTGTCCCTCTCCGTCGCCAATTTTGGAGAGCTCATTACTGCTTACTTACTGAACTAAGTGCTCTCCATCTCAAACATAATTTTTTTATTTCATATTTTTATGTATTGACTTCATAAATCATAGTTGAGTGTTTTATGCTGTTTAGAAAGTTTGAATTTGCAATTCATTAATCTGTTTTATTTTAAAATGTGCATAATGAGCTACAAGTATATTGTTAAATTTCAGATACAAGCATTAATGGTTACAATGAAGAGAAAGTCAAGGCATTATCTAAGGGCCAAAAGAGTTTCAAGGTCATTGCTTTATGTCTTTTTTACTTGATAAGTTTTTTACTATTCTATTTTGCCTGAGGGAAACATTCCAGGAAATATACTTCACATGCCTTAGAAGATCAATACTGCTATTGGAGAGTAATAGGAAACATAGTGAGAATGAGAAAAAGAAATATATAGGTTGCAACAATCCAGAAAAAAACTTTCAAGAAGAAAACATTTTTTGTTAGTCAACTAAAAAATTATAGCTCAAATAGTAATATTTTCTTCAAGAAACAAATAAAGACATGATAAAAACCTACGTATTAGGACATTGCTAAAAATGTGAAAGTCTATAGTCAGTCTTTTTCAAGTCTCCCTTTTTTTATGGCCATGAAATAATAATATTAGATGTCTTCATTTATATTTGACAGAGAGTTTTGTTTTTCTCATGAACATATAATAAATTATATAACAAGGAATAATTGTTTAGTTTACACCTATTTTACTCAGAATGTAGTGTTCATTCATTATGCAGTTGATACTGCATAATGATTAATTCCATATAAGGAATTAACCCAATGTGAGAAAATCAAACTTCTAAATTTTTAAACAATAGCTACATAAAATGGACAATTTTTGAAGTGTGGCTTATTATATATATCTCAAATAATGTGAATAAAATGGATAGCCATGCAAAAAGTACTAGTAGTATTTTTGTGAAATTAAATATTATAATTAAACAAATAATGCCATCTTATTGGCATGAATGACATCAGTTAGTTAGCTTCAAATAGTTTCATATTTCACTCGGTTTTCATGCATCTTCATTTATTAAATAAATATATTTTTCAAAGGACAATTGCTTTTCTTCTTTTTACTTTTTGAAAAAGATTTTCTGGGTAATATTCATTATTTCATGTGATTTTGACAAATATATCAAATATTATTTTATATTACTGATAACATAACTTGTTTTTTTGATGAACTGAACATATGTGACATTTATAGTGAAATTTTAAGACCCCGTCAGAGAGCTGAGAGAGTGTGGCAGCATTGGAATTCTGACAAGCTATAGCAGGAAGAACCAAAACAGGTGTTAAGGCCATGTTTTCTCAATAAAGCATCCAAAAACACAAAACCTCTGTGCTTTTATCAGTCAGGGCTCTCCAGAGAAATGGAACGAATAGGATGTGTGTGTGCACATCTGTGTGTGTGTGTGTGTGTGTGTGCACGCACATAGAGTTATTTAAGGAATTGGCTTACTGGATTGTAGGGACTGGCAAGTCCTAGGTAAGAGTTCATATTGCAGCTAGAGTCCAAAGGTAGTCTGGAGGCAAAATTCCTTCTTCCCTAGAGAACCTCAGTTTTCTTTCTTTCTCTTACAGCCTTCAACTGATTGGATGAGGCCCACCTACATTATGGGGTTTAACCTGCCTTACTCAATGTCTACTGATTTAATATTGATTACATCTAACAATACCTGCACAGCAATATCTAGACTAGTGTTTGACCAAAAACTGTTTACCATGGCCTAGCCAAATTGACATATTGCAGTGCCCATTAGCAGTGCCATTGGCCAAGGGTTGAGAAAAATATTATATATCAGCTCATTTAAAATACATTTACTACATGTCTAAAGCAGCATTTAATAAGTGATATGTGTGTGTTTGTGTATCTTTACAAACAGACCGTCTTTAGTAAAGTAGGTACATGTGTAAGAATCAAGAGAAGCCAAAGTTACTGGGAATGAATAAGGTTTTTAAATTGAGTGACACTGATATTTAATATAAGAATGACTTTAAAATAAATAATTTGTGTAGTGAAATACAACTTCTTCCTTGATTGTTTTAATCAAACAGAATGAGAAGAAATGAGCTGCTCTAAAGATAAGGCTATTGGGATTAGATTAATAAAAGCATTTCTAGATAATGAAGTTTGAGAAAATGTTAGTAAAATCTAACAGTGGATATTATATATATATATATATATATATCTATTCACAATGCCACCAGAGAATATATTATTGTCAGTTTTTTCCTTCAATGCCTGGATTAGAAATGCAATGTGTGTCTATGTGTGTGTGTGGTGTGGTACATCTATGCATATATTTTCAATGTGCTAGTGTATGGCATATTTATATTTAGAATTGTTTTTTAATATCCTCTTTCCTAGAATCTGAGGTGGTTTATTTTGATGGACAAAGTGCTCTGCTGTACAGACTTGATAAAAATTCTTTAAAATCAATAAGGGACATTATTTCTTTGAAATTTAAAGCCATGCAGAGCAATGGAATTCTACTTCACAGAGAAGGACAACATGGAAATCACATTACTCTGGAGTTAATTAAAGGAAAGCTTGTCTTTTTTCTTAATTCAGGTAAAAAATATTTGAACTTTTAAACCAGTGCTTTAAAAAACTCTGTTTATATGAAATTACATTTGTTGGTACTCAATCTTTTCGCAGTTACATAAAATAACCATATAATTTATCATCTAAACCAGAACACCTTTAAGAAATAAAAAATACACAAGTGATAGTTACTCTGGGACAGTAAGTGCAAAGTAGAACTCCAATGAACAAATCTAAATGAAAGTTTAAAAGCATTACTGACAGATGCATGCAATATGTACATATCCCAAGTATGACTTCTGTAAGCAGCATATGTATTGACAAACTGTGCAAGAAGATCACCATATCTGTGTTTAGTGTGTATGTATGTGTGTGTATATATATATATAATATGATTATACATATAATCATAAAAGCAGGAATAGATTATAAAATTAAGAGTGCTGATAATGAGGTTCTAAGAAAGAAAATATTGGCAATTTAAATACAGATGTCATGAATCATAGAAAAAATAAGTTACTAAGAAAGAAATTTCAACACAATGTAGAATTGAACTTAAAAAAGAAGTAAAAACAGTAAGGATATTGTGTTCAAGATGGGGAGAAAGTGAGAAAACAACTCTGTAAGATGGAAAGTTGGATGCAAACTGTCATGCTCAACTAAAAAATGGAAGCCATGATATTAAACAGAAATAACTGAGTGTTTTTTTCCCTCTTCTTTAAGATAATGCTAAGCTGCCTTCCACTACTGCTCCCGTGAACTTCACCCTGGGCAGCCTGCTGGATGACCAGCACTGGCATTCTGTCCTCATCGAGCTCCTTGACACACAGGTCAACTTCACCGTGGACCAACACACTCATCATTTCCAAGCAAAGGGAGAATTCAGTTACTTGGATCTTAATTTTGAGGTTATTATAGATATATAGTTTAAGTTAAATATAACCTGAAAAATAAACTAACTGCATAGAGAAATGCCATTTTATAGTAATTCAGAACTATTTTGACAAATACATAGTAATAGTCTGTCTTGTTACTTTGAAACTATTTATGCCTTCTAATATTTCTGATGATGATGATAATGATGATGATGATGATGATTATTATTATTATTATTAGAGGTGAAGTCTCACTCTTGTCACCCAGGCTGGAGTGCAATGGCGCAATCTCAGCTCACTGCAACCTCTGCCTCACAGGTTCAAGCGATTCTCCTGCCTCAGCCTCCTGAGTAGCTGGGATTACAGGTGCCTGCCACCATGCCTAGCTAATTTTTGTATTTTTAGTAGAGATAGGCTTTCACCACTGAGACCAGTTGGCCAGGCTGGTCTCAAATTCCTGACCTCAGGCTATCCACCCTCAGACTGCCAAAGTGCTGGGATTACAGGTGTAAGCCAACATGCACGGCCATCAATTTATTTTTATGGATCATCATTTCCACCTTGAAAGGAAGTAAATAGTCAGTGTTAGGCTTGGGAGATCTACGAATGAAGAAATACCAAGGCAGCAACCAATGATATTAAATATATTTGAAATTTCATCTGGTATATTACACTTGCTGTTTGACTATACCAGATTCCTGCGAGATTTTATTTTTTTCTTGTCTTGGTGCAATCCTAAC